GGAACATTTTATAAAACACTTTCTGTCATCTCAGGCCTCAATAACATCCTGAAAACATTTTCAGAATGTTGCTTGGAGAATGTTCTTCATTTGTTATCATGTAACATTAAAGGAACATTTTATAAAACACTTTCTGTCATCTCAGGCCTCAATAACATCCTCAAAACATCCTCTGAATGTTGCAGTTAAAACGTTATGTCTTAGTTAACCTTAAACCTTATAGGAACATTATTTGAAAAAATAAACATCCTAAAAAGGTTCTTTGAACATCAGATGAAAACGTTTCTTTAAAACCTTATTAGAAACAATAGGTAACGTTAGCCAAAGTTGTGAGAACGTTCCCCGCTAGCTGGGAAGACAATCCAGTTAAGCAATGTCGTTTTTGATGACTTTACTGATTTTTGCTTTTTTCTGCTACCAAGATACTTTTAGATACAGTTTGTTGTCTGAAAACTTTACAACTGGTAGAATGTCAATCACTGTGTAACACTTTTTATTTTCCTAAAGACTGTGACTCTAAAAGACAAGTTTTGTGATTTTAACACTTTTTTACTGACACTAGGCAGATTTAGGCTTTTTTTCCTTGCCAAGATACTTTTAGACACACTTTGAGGTATGCAAAACCTTAAAACTAGAAAATGAAGTACATTGTCTGATTAGATTTTTTCTTAAAGACTGTTTCTCTAAAAGGCAAGTTTTGTGATTTTAACACTTATTTACTGACACTAGGCAGATTTTGGCTTTTTTCTCTTTTCTTGTGTTACTAAGATACTTTTAGATACACTTTGATGTATGCAACACTTAACAACTGGTAGAATATGAAGTACTTTGTAAGGAATTCGGTTTCTTTTAATGGCCGTTTTTCAAAACACTTGTCCAGTTAAACAATGTAGGTTTTTTTTTTTTTTTTCTGATAACCTTACATATTTTAGTTATTTTCTGCTACCAAGATACTTTTAGATACACTTTGATGTATGCAACACTTAACAAAGGGTATAATATGAAGTCCTTTGTAAGGAATGGGGTTTCTTTAATACCCCGTTTTTATTTTTTAAAACACTTGTTCAGTTAAACAATGTAGGTTTTCTCTGATATTTTAGTTATTTTCAGCTACCAAGATACTTTTTTTGATACACTTTTATGTAGGAACATTTGACAACTGGTAGAATGTCAATTAATTTGTAACAAATGTATTTTCTTAAAGACTGTGACTCTAAAAGGCAAGTTGGTGATTTTAACACTTTTTTTTACTGACACTAGGCAGATTTAGCTTTTTTCTCCCGTTGTCTTTCACTTACTTTTTGGATACAGTTTTATGTATGACAACTTTACAACTGGTAGAAAGTTAAGTACTTTTTCTGAACAGATTTTCTTTAAGACTGTGACTCTTAAATCCAGTTTTCTGGAAATAACTTAAATGATTTTTGTTTTTTCTCCTACAAAGATACTTATAGTTACACTTAATGGGTGCAAAACTTTATAACTTGGTAAAATATTCATTAATTTGTAATGAATTGAGTTTCTTTTTTTTTCTTTTTTTTCAACATACAATGACTTTTCCATACATTTTTTTCTGACAAACTATACTTTGACTTTTTCCGTAAAATCGTGACAAACTATTACTTATTCTTAAATTTGACCTCTTGCTGCTTGGTTGGAAATGATAGATGAAAAAGCTACAAAGCTTAAAGAACTTTCTAAAAACTCTCAATTCTACAGATGACTCCCCCCACTCAACGCATTAAGTTCACCCCCACTCAGCAAATCATCTAAAACGAAGGACCCCACTAAGACGACCGTTGAAAACTAGCCATGGATCTGAGAAAAACCAAGTCTCCCCCCACGAGTTGCAGCCAGGAACAAACTCCTGGACTATCATCATCACCACCATTTTGGACACCCAAATCTTGCAGTACTACTGCTGCTGATGTTACTCCTTGGGCCAAGACGTCTCTGTTTTTGGACACAGTGAAAGCGGAGTTGGTTGATATTCTGGAGAAGGGTGCTGCATCGGTACAGAGAAGAAATCTGCAATGGATGCCGAGTCAGTCACCCCGGCCAGAGGCAACACGAGTGTCTGTATGACATGCCAGAATATTTCTTCAGAAACAATTACGAGTTAATGAAAAGACTTTGGCTTGCCGACTTCATTACTGTGATTGACCAGAGTCTTAATGATAAAAACATTTACACGGCTGAATGGAGGATCCAAGGCGCTTCGGAGGCTTTTCTGCACAATCTCAAAAACTGCAGACGCCTCAAGGAGAGACTTGAAAAGATCCATGCCGAGCTGGATGGAGAAGAAGAAGACTAATAACCAGTTAAAGTTAAATGGAAACGAGTGAAAAGGCAATACATGGACTGTATCGAACTGGAAACTTTGTTTCTGACTTTTATTCAGCAGCAAACTTTGTGTGCGTCAATTACTCCAACATAGCGGATCCTCAGAGGCTTAAAGCATTGGCTTAGCCTCTACACCCCTTATGTTGCTTATGTAGCGAGTGAAGCTAGTTTGAACAAATGATCTTTTAGGCTTGATTGAAAATAACACATTGTCTGACATTATCATATATGTTATATCATTACTGTTATATCATTGCTTACTATTCGTGGTTATCAAGTATCAGACACTTAAACAACAGAGAAGGTTTTAAGAAATAGGACTATACTGACAAATGACATCTTATCCTTGTCTGTTCTGTAGGAAGAAGGAACATAACAGAGTGGGACTACACTTAAAAACTGAAGTTTGTTCCAATACGAAGATTGTGTCCTTAAAACGAGTCACCTCGCAATATTATGCACATTATTTATTCAGCCGTTTGCTGTTTAATCTGATGGGGAATATATCATTCAAAAGAGAGAAAAAAGCGTATTAAACTAGACAAACGCTCAATACAGGCGATGACGTCACCTTTGCACGTCCCCGCGAACAGGGCTTCAATCTACGGCAAGCCTTCAACCTGCGGCACAACACCGGCACTAAGTACGGCGAAGTACTTGGTGTGAAAGCGGTTATTGAGTCAGTGTTGTGGTGCTGTTGCTTTGGTCTGGATCTGTGAGCTAACCACGCCCCGTTCATTTGAATAGAGAGGCGAAGTCCCGCCCTTCTACTTCCGCCCCATGGGACCTTATTTCGGAAAAATTATGCATTGAAGTCAATGGGGAGAGAAAGATTATCTTTCGATCCCGTTTGAATTGTGCCATGAATTACACATATGATGTTTGTCGATCTTTAAAAATCATTTCCATGTAAAAAAACTCACAGTTTGTCTTAAAACTGTTGAAATATAAGACTATGAAAAATACGCAACTAGAAAGACTACAAATCTCAGAATCCCGGTCCCGCATGCTGGCTCTTACGGAACCGACTAACTCCCCTTGTGTGTATGTACAGCTCTCAACATGCCCAGACTTGGAGTTTGTTTGTTTGTAGCCTTTATTTAACCAGGTGAAAAATCCCATTGAGATCAACGATCTCTTTTTCAAGGGAGACCTGCGGTACATTGGTTACACATAAAAACAACAGAAAACAAAAAGGACATCACAACATAATTACAGGGGTATAAATTAGCAACCTATTCACAATGACAGATATCTAATAACATTTCATCCAGCCGTAGTGATTTTCACCTTTTAATACTTTTCGCCTCATTCTGAAAGAAAGAAGTGAAATGTGCCAACGTGACGGCCGTCTTGGTGTGTGGTGCGAGACGGGAGATGTAGTTCATTGAGCGGTTTCTCACAAAAAAAGTGTTACTTCACAGTTTTACGACATATTTTTATTTTTTTGACTTGCAAAATTATCTTTTAAATTGACAAACATCATATGTGTAATTCGTGGCACAATTCAAATGGGATCGAAAGATAATCTTTCTCTCTTCATTGACTTAAATATATACTTTTTCCGAAATAAGGTCCCATGGAGCTCCACCGGAAAGGGAGGGACTTCGCCTCTCTATATAAGAAATGGAAATGTAATGTGGCATTATGAAATACAAGTCCTCTGAAATAAATAAATGTGGCATTATGAAATAAAAGTCCCATGAAATAAATAAATGTGGCATTATGAAATAAAAGTCTCTATGAAATAAATAAATGTGTATTTAATTGTACATTTATTGCCTTGTTTATTTATTTCAGAATGTATTTCATAACCTTATTTATTTATTTCATAGGCATATTTATATATGTATTTATTTAATTTTGGCTTAAACGGCATTCCATATTTACTCAGTGCGTCACAGGTGCATGCGATATTTTTTTCCCCATATCTGTTGATCAAAGCACACTCAACCCGTCTTTTTGTTGTTTCCTTCAGAAGTTATTGACATGTAGTTGTGTCTCTTATCCATGGTTTAGCCAAATACAATAAGACATTGTTTTTGATAGAGCGTGTGCTTATTTCTAGCTTGTATTTATTCACAAAAGCAGGATTATGGGAACACACTTAGCCTATATGGAATTATTATGTGTCCATTTCCATAACTGCCAACTGTTAACATATCTATATATACACATTTGATTCAGGTTTTAAAAAAGGACTATTATATATTTGGTATTTAATATCCAGGCACAGAATGTATTGAGAAAGCAGTGTGGCTGTCCTGCAGCTACTGCTCAATGTCAACTGAGAGGACACCTGGAGGAGTTTCTGTTGAGAGGAGGAGCCCACCTCAGACAAACCACCTCAGACAGACCGTTAATCATTGCACTGGAAACAAGCATTATGAAGGATCTTGTGCAAAAGTGCTATCAGCTGTTCTGGAGCTGGCTCTGACTTTTAAAGTTAAACAACTTTGCTGGAGGGGGCTTCATGGGATTTTACCTGTATGTGATTTTTAATTGCCAGACATTCAACCAATGCAATTGTTGACCTAATTCTCATGAACAGAAACATAATCTACAGTGCCATGAATAAAGAACATTTGACAGTGGCTTCAGGCAGTCATCTGTGACTTGGTGTTAATACTCTGTCATTAGTAAACTAAACAGACAACTTACAAAGAAAAACTGGTTTATTCACAAGATCAATATCTCACACGCAATTCAAAATATGTCAAAACATAACATCCTCATCAATGGAAATCAGATGACACATGTTACAGTTCAAAGACACACAAACGCATTGCCTCTTTCAAAACAAAAAAGTATAACAGAATGTAAAAAAGGTGTGGATCATTCTCTTCTCCTCTCATACTCGCTCCAGGGCCTCCAACATGATGATGCTGTTTCCCCTGATGACCTGTGAAACATGAAAGAACGCAAAGTTAACACTGTTTATTAAAGTCAGACTTTCTCCATGTGTCACTGTCATAACCTCTACAATTAACCAGAATGCAATTGCATTTCACCAATGCTACATGTGCACAACTGTTTAGTATATTTTTGACTGTGTAGTCTAGTTTCTTCAGTTTTACTTGCATAACTACAGAGATTATGTGCGAGGCTCTGTTCGTTGCAAATGTACAGCTGACTTCTCTGCTGATACTCATTACTGTCCCTGAACACATCGTGAAGGTTCTGTGAATAACGTGCTACACCCTGTGTAGACATTATGCTAGTACACTTGTGTTTTTTCTGCCTTGCCAGAAGGATTAAATAACTCCTGTATTCATTACTTCTTTACTAAAATACTTTAATCTAAAGAGGGCATACAATGTACTTGTATGACTCTTTGCAAGAGCTGCTTAAGCACATATTCATATTTGAGAAAATATGTTTATGTCAGCATTAGAAATTATATATCAATTGAATTTAAATTAATACCTCCGTTTTTGTATAAATTGATATTATTGGACCTTGCTATGGTCAGGTGAAAGTGCCGTAACGCAGATTTCAGTGGACATGTCAGAAAAGTTGGATGTTTTTCCGTGTTAAGGCGAGACACTACAGGTGAATAGGGTAATTTTTTTACTTAAAGATATCAGCTAGAAATTTCTCCAGTTAATTCGTTGCATTAAGACAATTGTTTTTTGTATTACAAGTTTTCTGAAATAGCATGTTTAAATATGCAAATGAGCCATAATCTCATTAAATATGCGCATATTTGAATATATTTCAGGAACACAAATCTAAACATTGGATAAAGCCAGGTTCAAAATTCTTATTTCATTTTGTAATCATATTAGAATCTAAAGTTTTTACACAAGGGATTTTGGATATCTCTTTTTATCACTCCATAAATCAGAAAATACTGTCAACAGCCCTAAAATATCAATTTTCGCCATGTTTTTAGGTATAAAATGTTATATAATTCAGGCTATGAATGATATGAGGCCCGTTTTTTGTTGCGTTTCCACTAGGGGTAGTTCCGGCTAACAGGTACCGTTTCACAGTTTTTCTGGCCCTCCAAAATTGTGGTTCTTTCCGGGCCAACAACCGGGCTGAATATGCTAAACTATTGACGTGAGTGGCTACAACTACAACACAATGAACATATTTTACCGTGATTTAATTGTAATACACGTTTCAAAATGATGCCGAAGTAACAACATACTGATACCGGTTAGTAAAAATCATGAATTAATGCTTTGACAAGTCTGCAGACAGACGGCAGGCGAAAAACCTTTTAAAATGAGTGTTGTCTAAATGGAGATCGGCTAAGCTAACGCAGAATATGCTCCGACCGTCCACACTCACAACAACGGCCTATACAGACATAATAAAGCAGCGACTGTATTCACCATGACACAGGCAGTCTGTGGTTTGTACTTGTTTAACTTTTGTCTAGTTTCTGAACAGATATGAGGAGCTGTGAGCTCTGAGTGCTAACAGCTAACGGCTGATGTTTGGTTTTGTGGTTCGCATTGAAGATGACGTCACGGCTCCGCCTACACTGCGTTACTATAGTTACTGCCCCAGCTACTAAACTGTAATGGAAACGCAGCATGAAATGAGCCTGGCCTACCAAGGCCTAACTATACCGTACTACGCCGTGCGAGGCCCTGCAGTGGAAATGCGCCATAAGAGGCCACCGTACTTATAAATAAACACAGCATTTATACCACCAAAATAAAATGTAGTATATTGCACTAAGTAGTAGAAAGGATTGGTTTTGAATACAGCTTAGTTCTTACATAGGATTTGTTGACGATCAGAAAAACAAAGAACACCAAGCTGAGATACTGACCACCATGCCGATGTTGTTCTGTTGTCCACCTGGGCCCATCTCCAGAGAGTCGTCCACCACCAGGTTCATGAAGGGGTCGAACCCGCGCAGGATGCCCTGCACATGTCTGCCTCCATTCAACTTCACTGAAGGACAAAAATAAATCTGATAAATATTGCATGATTTTAAGGGGGACCTTGCTCTCACAGGATGTTCTGCTGATATTCCCTGATCCAGTTCCAATACACAACACTAACCTTTCGCTTTTAATTGGGAAGCTTTAAGATGCTATAGGTTGCCAGTTGTTTTTTTACTACATATGCACACATTTTGATAAGCTTTGAGTGTATTTAACCATCGACTGTTGATTGCTTCTATTCTTTTTAAACTGTTGCTCAGAAGGATGTATGTCTGTGTGCTCTTTGCATTATCAGTCGGTTAAAATTATTTTAGTTTTGTTCAACAGGAACAAAACCGGCAAACTAAATAATTTGTAAACTAGACATTCTAGAAAGTATACTTTTAAACTTTATGTTGCAAATGCATTACATTAAAAATACCCATTTTTATTTAAACACTACAACTTTAATGATTTAATATTTTTTCTTGGCCTATTGTACTTTTTAAACGAGTGCTTTCCATGGGTTAAAGGCTGTCATTTGAACAATTTAAGTAGGCTTAAATATCGGCTTTTGAGTATACTCACAGGAAAGCTTCTTGTCCATGAATCTGTAGAAAGAAAAACATTAGAGTTATGTTAGTGAGGCTTTTAGACGATAACTACTAAGCTAGCATTCGGACCGGCTAGCTAATGTTAGCTAGCTTCCTTGGCAAACAACGTAGCAGGGTAACTTCACGGGTATCATTTTCGAGAATAAAACGTCGGCAAATTACAGTATACGTTATATATTCATTTAAACAAACCCGAATACTTACTTCTTCAACTCTGGGGGGTGTGCTTTGCTCATGTTGTCTGTATTTTCTAAAAACCGACTCAGTTGTTTGAATGTTCGTCGTTCAGTCGTTCACAATACAGCGGAAGGAAAACGTGCGCTGAGCGACCGGAAGTTCCTGTCGCTACTAAATGCTAAGAGCGCCGCCGTAAGGCCGGGAGGAGACAGTCCTGCTAGTTCATTTCATATATTTTCTGAACAAAACAGTCGGAACGAAAGTCAGGTAAAGCACAAGATAAGCTTGAATAACGTTGCAAATTAAGGCATCACCTAAATGTAAAATCTTCTTGCAACATAACTTAAATACATTTTATTTAATAAACACGGTTTAATGTAATGTTGAATGTAAATGTCCCCTCTGTGGGACTAATAAAGGTATTCTCATTCTGAATGATCCAGGTGATCCCCACTTGTCAGTCAGTCATTCAGCTTTGTGTCTGCTCTAGACTGAGTGTAGTTTTTAACATTGTTAGTGTAGCAACTAACATATGACATACATATATGCATACAATTTAAAATAAAGAGCTCAAACATTTAATGAGCACTAAGAACATTTGTTAGAAAAATGTGATTGTATACACAACATTAGTATAAAGAACACAGACAAAATATTTAATGAGAATAGTTTTAATTGTTGTCTATTAAGAGCCATAACCTCATTTACTAAACACCGTGAAACGTAGAAGCTTTAAAACCTATTAAATCTTTCTCTACATTTTCACAGTATTACTTTGAAAACAGTAGCCGAAACCTCTTAGAAAATAACAAAAACAACTGATGTTGATCCTTGTTCATTCGTCAAAGCGCACTTCTCAAGCATCACACACTGAAGGGCTGCCATCCATTCATATGTTTGCATAGATAATATCACCCAAGTACATTGCAGCTAAAAAGAAAGGCTGTGATGAAAGGCTTCCCATGGCAGCTATTCAACTGTAGTTTATTCTGTAGATAAAGACAATAACTTACACATGTTGGAACCTCAAAACAAGATCTCGTACTTAAGGATTTCACAGCACTATATTTATATCTAGTGCTTCAATACAGCCAGTGACACACCAGAGTCCCCACCAATTGGTGACTAATTATTGCCAAATCTAATAAAGAAAAACAACGTAAAGACATAGCTGACATACCTGACCTCAGATATATCTTACTTGGCTAAAGCACTCTAGATGTTTGGTGTAAAAAATAGTCTCTAGCAAACTAAATATCTGTGGCAGTGCATTGGCAATGTCCTGAGCTTACAAAAACACTGGCAGCAGGAACAGTAAAATAGAGTGGAGATAGCAAACTCAAACGCACAAACTATATTAAAGGAGCATACAGGTGTTTTTGCATGTTTTCCCCCAATCTTTCAGTATGACCACTTGCTAGACAGGTTATTCATTACAGTAGACCTGTTGGTTTAGAGTGTGTTCATTACATTTTAAAGCTAAAATTATTCATATTTGTGCTCGATGTTTTAATGACAAATCTTTTTAGCAATGCCAACTTTTACTTATGTTGCGATTGGTTTCACAAATGATATTGCTAATGCAGATTAAAATCTGAGATTTTTGAAGGTCCCATAATCACTTAAGCAAACTAGTGATCCATTTTTAAATTTTATGCTGGGAAAAGGTAAATTACCAAACTGAATTATCATCTTCTTCAAATTGATTTACATACTGTACTGTAAATGAAACATTTGATGTAGCAATCATTAGTATATGTGAGTGAAAGGCCAAGAAACATGCAGTATTGTATGGTCCTTTAACAATGCATTCTCTTGAAGCGTTGATATGTTGGTATGGATGACGTTAAACCAACAGCGTGGGTATAAAACAAGATGTTATGAATGCTTAATCAATGAACAGGTGAATCAACAAGAAATTCAACAAGATTTCATCACTCTCTCTCGAACCCTTCAAGGCAAAAAGTGGATCTCTGCTAACATTCACAGTGGATGTCAGGCTTTGCTGTGATGTGTGCAGCCCTCAGTGATGCTGTCCTCTTCCACCCTGACGCGCAGGTGCTCCTGACAGTGTTCTAGGAAAGAGTCCAGTGCAGAGAAGCCCTGCTGACACGGCACACAGTGGTACAGCCTCTGCCGCTTTGAGCCCGGCCATTTGCACGTATCCATCTCATGTGTGCAGACACTGCACTGCCTCCTCTTTAGGGCGGACTGGTGCAGCTCCACGTGCTCCTTCAGCTGCGACTGCAGAGAGAAAACCTCTGCACAGGAGGGGCATGGAAATTCGCTCTCCAGTTCCTCCTCCTCCTCCTCCTCCTCCTCGGCTTTAGGCACTTCTGAGCAACTCCCTGGATTAGTAACCTTTTCCTCTGTCCTGGGCATTTTCCTGGGCCTCCCTCGACCAGCTTTAACAATCTTGAGTTCCGTTGTGATGCTTTTTACTTTATTTGATCCATTATCTGATAATTCTTTGATGGTACATTCTACAGGCTGGCTTGTGGGGATGCTTGAGGCTGTGTGCTGTTTGTAATGTGCCCTAAGTGACAAATGATGGACGAAGACTTTTCCACAGACCTGACATGGATACGCTCCTCCTCTCCTGCGCTTTCTAATGACCGGCTTGGGTTCACTCAAAATAATTTTCTCCCTGCTGTGTTTCTCTTTTCTGTGCACGTACAGCTTAGAAGTGCTAGTGAAAACCATGTCACAAGAGCGACAGTTCAGAAGTTTCCTACTGGATTTTGGCCTTTTAATTAAATCTCCATTCACCTTGTTATTCCTTCCTTTCCTCACTTCTCCACCAGCAGCTTTGGTCTTTTGTCCCCGAGGAGGCTTCAGCAGCTTCTCTGCATGGTTAGTCTGTTTATGGCGTTGCAGTCCAGCCTCTGTGTGGAACATTTTCGAACAGAATTGACAACCATTAACCACTCTGCTGACAGGCCAATGGGTGTCTGAAGAGTCAGAGCAAGCAGAGTCTTCCTCAGAAACTGGTGGGGAATCCTCTGGAAGGCGACTTGCATCAACTACGTCTGAAGGGGAAGGTGGTTCACTACAACCAGCTTGCTGATGGTGCAGCAGAGCCTGCTTCTGATTAAAGCCCCTCCCACATGGGGCACATGCGTAAGGGCTACCATCCAGCATGTGAGTCTGGCGGTGAGGCGAGTTGTCCTGCGGCCTGCCAGGATCTGAGCTGAGGGTCCTACATGTAGGGCACGGAGCACACAGCTGTGACTCTCCATGACAAACCTCACATGGGGAAGCATCATGATTGCACTTATGTAGCTGCAAGGACGACTTTAGGGAGAACTCCTGCCCACAGGACGGACACCGGTGAGGCTTGGGTAATGCATGTTTTAGTTCCTGGTGATGCAACAGTTCTGTCCCATAAAGGAAGCCCTCACCACATTCTGGACAGACATAAGAGGACAGTTGGGATGGTGGCGGCCTCTTGTTTTGCGTGTGCTGTTTTGTGTCAGCCCGTGCAATAAAGCTGGCAAGCCTGGAGAGAGTGTCTGCTGTCGCCCCCGAGCGGCTGAACGACTCCGGTGCCCGGGTGGTGCTCCAGCTGACCCCATCCATCCTCCACCAAGCTCCTTTCTGCTTTAGGGGAGATAGAAGTAGATACCTTATTACTTTCTTACACTAACTTATATACTTTTTGTATTTGATTTTATCTTGAATTGTATTATCCTTGTGTGTATCTGTACTGTCCTGCTTTTCACTCTCACTCTGTTGCTGCTTAAACTGCTGAATTTCCCCACGGGGATTAATAAAGGTCCATCTTATCTTGTCTTATTCATCCCAAATTGGGAAATGATTTTGTCAAGCAATATACACGAGTTAAAAATATCTAAAAATACGTAATAAGATAAAAATATAATACAAATGAACCACAACAGCAAATATATACAAACTCACAGTAGAAAGACGTGTATCACTAGAGTATTTTAATAATACACAACGAAAGGAATACTGAATCAATTAGAATACTCGGCACAATTTCATTATGAAACAGAAATATACTAACTTTGGATTATATATAGATATATATATATATATATATATATATCTATATATTACAATTGTGAGAAGCAGTTTAAGTCGTCAGAACCTCAGAAATCAGAACCCTAAGAAAAGGCTAAAGCATGCAGCATTAAAAAGAAAGAAATTGAAGCTGCTCTTGCCTGACAGTGAAGTGAGACAGCTAACGTGTGTGAAGTTTTGTAGGAAAGGGGAAGCTACTAGCTTGTTCCTTTTCCTTGCTTATATTATCAACAATGTTTAGCTAGGTTTCATTATGCAGCAATAAAGAACACGAGTTGAATAATAGCCTAATAGCTAACGGCCATAAACCATAGTGAGAATTCAATGTTAACGTTGCAGGAATGTACTATCGGTGCAGCTCAACTCCAGCCTAGCTTCGTGTTTGCTAACGTTAGCCCTTTGCTAATTGCACAAACGTGTTAGAAATGCAGCTTATGGTACTTAAAATATCTTACCTTGGCCCTCAGACAGGTGCAACTCGAAGGGTATCTTCACAACGGGCTGGATTCAGACGTTTTGTCGCGGTAACATATGCTTTCGTTACCGAAAATAACACCGACATGGCTGCAGAAGTGAAACCGAAGTTGGGGCAGCATTACAACTCTGAGCCGTCAGCGTCACTTCCGGCCCACGCGCCACCTGCCCACTTCTTCTTCTTCTTTTCTTTAATGGCGAATCGCTTCCTACTGTTCCTATCGCCACCTACTGTTGATTTATTAAATGTTCATATCAAATCCTTGTCCTTGTTTTTGAGGAACTTGTTAACTTAATTTCTTGATTTACTTTCGTATATTGACTTGAAATCCATGTCCTTGATGTTATGTTGTTCCAGTGCAGTTTTCAGAATGAGTCTTTGTCTGTTATATTCCGGGCAACTAAAAAATACATGATGTATTGTCTCTGGTTGTTGGCAACCATAACAATTGCCATTTGGATGTTTTCCAATCAGATGCATTGTTGAGTTTAATCCAGAGTGACCCAATTTTATCCTGCTGTTAATGCTCTGTTCTCTTCTACTCCCCCAAGTGCTTTCCGTTCCTACTTCCCTTTGTATCTGGTATAAATGTCTTCCTTTAGTGTTACTGTCCCATAATGATTGCCATTGTTGCTTGATAACAATTGTTGTAACAGATTTGACT